CCTTTCCCTAACCCACCCCTATAGCCAAATAAATCTTCCTGGGAATGAATGTAAGAGCAAAAAGTACTGCTAATGAAATAATGATGAAATAATTAATTCAGATTAAATAATACTCTTCAGCACTCCAACAGGTACTAATTTTCTCCTTGCTTGGCCTTATTCCTACAGGAAAGGGAGAAGAAAAAGCCTCTCAGGTATCTCTGCTCTGGATGGTGCCTTAAAAATCCCAAGGCCCAAACTCACCCTGTCCCATGGACCTTGGGGAATGTCCTGCCAGCAGCCTGTGTGGAGCACAGGAATACATGGAGGCTTCACTCCTTGGCTGAACCTTCCCAGCTGCTCTTCACTGACACAGAACATTCCTGTGAATGTCTCTTCACTGCATGGATTTGCTGTGGATTTACTTTACCTCTCCTTTCCCAGTTAAACAAAAAAGAGCACATCCATTTACCTGCTGGGCGTCCATTGTCTAAAATCAAACAGGTATGGCACTGTTTGATGAACAAACCCAGTTCACCCACCTGGAAAGACTTTTCCTTCCAACATATTGTGTCCACACAGCCATGCCTTGACTGCCAACAACAATGGCATTAGCCAAGAGCTTCCTTGTATTTTTTGGCGTTGCCTGCAGGAAGCACGTCCTGGTTCACAGCTCCAGCAGTTCCAAAGGTGAGAGCCCTCTGGATATTCCACCAAGATGAGGATTAAAACGTTTCCTTAAGCGGTCTCTGCCCCAAAACCACAGCAGAAATAACCTGGGAGGGCTGAATTCAGCCTCATGTTGAATAAATGTCCCCCGCACACCAGTGACAGTCATGGTTAACACATTCTGTGGTATCTCACTGGGATCCCTCTGAGTTTTCAACAGCACAGAGTCAAGAACAGGCTTCAAAGTTGTCCTCCAAAGTCACCATGAGTTGTGGAAACAGCTCACACAGTTGGTATCTCCCCATCTCCCCTGCCCTGACTTAAATCAGATGGGCAAAACCTGACTGGTTCAGCTCACCACCAGCTTTCCAGCTGGGGCAGGAACAGTGAGTGGACACAGAAAGGCAAAGGTAGGTCCCTATTTGAAGAAATAGGGACTCTCATTCCTCTGCCACTCTCTGGTTTTTCTGCTGTGACTCCAAGGCTCTTATCTGACGAGCAGCAGCTCTGGCAGCAGCAGATGCTGAAGGCTGCAGGGTGTTACGGGGTCACATCCAGCTTCCAGCTGCTAAAAAAACTTCTTGTGACCTTTTAGTACCTATTTCAGGTCTCTGAGATTAAAAGGCAAGAGCTTGCTAGGAAAAAAAAAATGAATAAACAGCCCAGCCCAGAAGCCACCCTATATCAATCCTTAAAGGGCAGAGCAGCAGGATGCTCTGGCACTTGATAACGTTACCTCTGTCACACAGCAACGCTTTCTGCTGACTCAGGATCAGCCTTGACATGCTCAGAACCATCTACTTTTCAATTCTCCTCTCCTGCTTTCCTTTTCTCTCCCTGTGTGTATCTTCCCAAAGCCCGTTTCCCAGGTATTTCTCACGTGCTTTTTCCACTCAGCCTGATTTGTTTCATGGTTTTGTTTTTTTTTTTTGTTCTTGCCTAACCTGCCTTGTTCCTCCTTAAATACAGTTATTTGAGAGCTGTGCACTGCACCACACCAGCTGAACCTGCACATCCAACACTCCAGTTTAAGCAGTTCAGCACTGCTGTTTAAACCCAGTTCTGCCTGAGTAAGTGTTTATGCCTAAATTACATCAACGTGGAAAGGCCCAAAAAGAATGTTCCAGTCAGATTTAAACATGGAACTCAAGACTCTTGACCAAATGTCTGCCTGTCTAAAATACATCCTAATACATTTATGTCCCTCCAGAAGGGCTGGGTACACACCACTGTAATCTCTTGTTTAAATTCTAGTTGTTAAATGCATTTTATTTGCTCTGGGCAAATGGTGCCTTTGTTTCCCTTCCAGCTCCTTGTGCAGCCTTCACGTGGCAGATACCTGGATAAAACTATCCCCTGGAGGGCCCAGGAAGCTTGAAAATGTACCCTCCAGAAGCTTTTTGGTCATGTGGCAGTGCAGAGACTCCCTTGTAAAACAGAGACACTGTTTTACACCTGCACCAGTGCAGGACTTTGGAGGCAGAAAGGTTCCCTTGGGTGTTTTGTCAGAGCTTCCTCACTGTGCAGCCAAAAAAGCCAAAGCATGTGCTGAACACCTTGATGCCTCCTCAGCTCTCTGCTCTGCTCCTTGCCTTTGCAATGCAGCTCTAACCAAATTACACACCATCTCCTTTCCTACATGGGCAGCACAAACATCCCTTGACTTCCTTGGAAACGGGGATGGCTTTAATTGCTCCGGCAGTGCCTTGAAATTCTCAGGTGGGCAAAGCATTTATTCCACCCTGAGCTGCACCAGGACGTGGGATTAACACACATGGCCTTTTATCTGCTCCTCACTCACCTCCCTGCAGCTCCCTCAAAACACCAAGTAGCAACAACTAGCAAGAAAATCCTTTTCCTCCTCAGAATTCCTTTTTATTCCACGGTTTATTTCCATGAGGTGCCTCCCCCTCAGCGAGGTAATCCCTCTGCTGTGGCAGAGACCAGGTTTTAACCTCGTGTTTACTGCTTTAAAATTGGACGGGCTCGTCTTGAAATAAAAGAAGGGCATCACTCACTGACCAACTTCACCATATTTCAGCAAATTATTCCAGGAACAGTATGTCCATACCTTGGACAGGAAATTCTGAAGAAAAATGAGCTGTAAACATCAACTCAAACCTGTATTAACTTCAAAGCTTAAAATGGAAGGGAGCAAAGCACCTGGCAAGACACAGAGAGATCCCAATCTCCCCTTTCAGGACAATTCCCCTATCCTGAGCCTTTGCTTCTTTGTGTATAGAATGATTTGTCCCCAGTTAAATGTCCTTTTATCCAGGGGCAATGCATACAGCAACTCTAAGGTGGCTAAATCCAATGAATCCAGGTATCCTCTGACAACTTGAAAGGAAGATCAAAGACAAACTCAGGACAAAGAGGCAGGTGAATTAAGGGGGCAGCTCTCAGCCCTGCTGGATTTAAGGCAGCGTGGTGGCTGCTCTGCACTCCTGCAGGGGTTTGGAACGATTCCCTGGCAGGGGTTTGGGATGACCCATGTGCTGAGCCACGCAGGTCACTGAGAACAAAGGTCAGCTAAACCTTTTTGCCCTCCCATGATGGATTTTAGATGGATTTGAGATGTTTCACAGGGCCATGTGGCAATTTAGGTCACTTAAATACATAAAACCTCCTTCCTTGCTGACACACAAACACAAATTACTTCTTTTGTCACGCAGCATGACATGGGTTGTTTTTCTCCTGAACTAGTTTTTGATAGCTGGACTAACCATTCAATCTGCAAAACCACAAAACTTCTCTTCCCAAGAGGAATTACTGATGTTTCTTGCAGGAGAGAGCTGAACTGCAAGGGAACCAACAGTTCAGTTGAGGAAGCCCAAGAAGTGTACTTGACATAAAAATCAGACCATTATTTTATTCTGTGCTCTGCAAATTCAATTTTTTTTTTTAATTTTTTTTTTAAGGTAGAGATTCTAATTTCCAAAGGTGTTGGCACCCTCAGTTGCCATTGTGCAGAATCATTGCTCACATGGCCATTAATTAAGGCTGTTGTCAGCACTTCCATTCCAAACCTGCCTTTTAGGAGTTTATAACTCAGCCATAAAACCCTGCTCTGGGCTGAAATGCATCATGAAAGGGTCTGCCTGGAAGGAATCCATCCTTTTGTATTTGAGAGTCCCAAAAGCTCATAGCAGCAAACCAAGGATTTTATTCCAAAGGCTGCCACTCCCAAACCTGGGCTGCTTTTCATGAGTGCTGGGTGAGCTGGGCCTGCTGGACTGGCTCTGGGAGCTCCCTGGCAGGGTGGGCTTTGCACTCTTAACGTTGTAAATTTGAGGAATTATGAGGGTTTATGCTTCAGGGCCAAAGCCTGTGCTTAGTTTAATACCAGTGAGCACCTCTGCCCCCACTGTTCCCTGCTGGAGTATGATCCATATGGATTTCCCACCCTTCTCCCCCCACAACCTTCACTGGGCCTAATTCATACTCCAGTGCTCAGCTAAAGAGATGGAACTTGTCTCTCCAGGAGCACAGGTTAGGCTGCAAATGGTCCTCTAGTCCACTAGCAGCTGTAGTAGTAGTATTTTCATACCTTTTTTTCAGTCTCTTACTGAACAGGAAGTTTGCACAAAAGCATCCAAAACTACTTTTAGCAGAACAAAAAGTTATTAGTGGATTGCTCTTTGCAGTCCAGTGGAGCAGCTTCTGATTTCTTCAGTACCCACATGTGTCTGAAGCACACACAGAACCAGACTCTGGACTGTCCTGCACCCTCCACCTCCTTCAGTTCCCTGCTCCCCAAGAAGTTTCACGGCTCTACAGGTTAATTTTTCTTGTTCTAGAAAACAGGCAGTGCCTGCCAGGCTCAGCTGCTGCACTCTGATCTGGCAATCCAGCGTAAAAGAGACATTTCAAAATTCCAGCTTGCTTTTTTTCCCCAGTGCAAAATTTCTGCAGCTGTATTTTTAAAGGATTAGAAAAGTTTAGGACTGCTGGCAACACGTAAAGATAATGCACCCTGCTCAGGACATCAACTGACCCAGAGGTCACAAAGGAATATTCATGTTTGCAATTGGTTACCTTCCATTTATGAATTTCCACCTTCTCAGGACCAGAGTAAACACATCAAAACTAATAATGGGTTTTCTTTACAAGTCCCATCAGTCCTCTCTTCCAACACAAAAGAGACTTGTTTCCCCCCACAACTTTCCCCAAAATAAAAACAAAAGAGAGCGGAGGTGGTAAGGGGAGAATGAGGAACAAAGGGAGGAAGAAAAAAAACAAACCCACAGCACTGACAGAAATGTTCATTCACATCTCCCAGCATCCATATGCCAGTAACCAAATCATAAACTCTTAGCCTACCATACAAAGAGGGTGCCCCAAAATGGTACCTGCAAGAGGTCTCTCGGAAGGAGATGTTTAAATCCCAGTGGGTGTGTATCCTGTCAACAAACAAACAAACAAACAGAGAGGTCAGTGGCACGGGCTCAATGCTGCATCTCTTGCTACTTAAAAAGATCTGCTCCACCACAACAACCCACCCATGGCCCCCCAAACCCAACCCCACAGCTGGTAGGACCCCCGGGGGAGCTGTACAGCACCCACAGACCTTCCCCTCGCTGCATGCAAGAGGTGCAGGGACTGCAGGATGTCATCTCAACTCCCAGGTCACATTCAGAGGAAGCAGAACGAGCTCAGCGTTGACATTTTACGAAGAAAACCCAAATCTGTCTGTGCTGTGTCCCCTCCTCTGCCCCCGCCCCGGCTGTAAATAAATTATTAGCAATTTCCCACCTCGGAAATTAATTCCACGTACTCTGTCACTCTGCCTGCTGACAAGCAGCAATAGCAGATTCCAGATGAACAGAGCAGCCAAGGGGCTTGGTTTTTTGATGGATTTTTTTTTTTTTTCCCTTTGCTACTAAGACAGCATCCACCCCAACCCAGAGGGAAAAGGCCGACGCTTGACCTTCTGTGGTCTGGTGTCTCCTCTCAAAAGCAGGGAGCACTGATCTCCCCTGGCTCAGGGGATGGTCTGTGACCACCACTGTGTCTCCACCTCACGGTGATTGATGACAACCCCAGCCATCTGAGACCAGCCTGGCAAGCTGGAGTCCATATCCTCGCCCAAACCCGCTCCCACGGCTCCCAGAGCCTGCCAGGGAACGTGCTGGGTCCTGGCTGGGCAGATAAATCACCTCCTGCAGATGCAGGTTCCCAAAGGGCCGCAGATATTCACGAGCAGCAGAAACCAAAGGCACTTTCTGCACATTTTGTGTAGCCCTGCAGCAACTCCTGCCTCTGCCCCCAGCAGAAAAAGCAGCGGTGTGTGGCTGTGGAGCATCTGGCAGCAGGAGGAGCCTCACCTAAAACCTGCTGGAGTTAGAGAGAGTCCTTCCCCCGGCCTGAATGGGCTGTGAATTGGGCCAGAAAACACTTCACCATGACCAGAGAAGTCGATGGGGCTCCACTCAGGTTTGAGTGCCTGTTTAAGTGCTTTCCCGCTCCAGCCCAGTCCTGAAATTACCTGAGAACAACTCTTAGCACGGAAATAATTTCACATCCAAGACATGCTGGCTGCTGCCAGTTTTACTAATGTGATGGCAAAGCTTTTGTGCTCTTCCTGCAGGTCTGACTCAGAAAGGAGTCTGGTTATTCTTTTAGGGGTGAACAGTTCTTTTTCTAGATATTAACGTCCACCAATAAAGCCATTCTCAGAACTCCACTTAGCAGTGCCACGTGAGCCTGGTTTTTCCTATTCTTCTTCCTCTTATATACCAGTCTAGGAAATCTATCCCAGATTTCCACCTTCCCAGCATTTCATTTGCGAACAGAAATGGAGCAGGCTCTTCCCAGCTCCTGAGTTTAAAGCAGGAACAGTTGCTCTTCCAAGTTAAAATTCAGAAAATGTTTGAAAACTTTCTGGAAAGGAAAGGTCAAAGTGGGACACTGAGTAAAACTTCCATGAACTGAAGTTTGGTCAGACTCTGGGACGTATTTGGACTCTCCAGGTAAGCTGATGCAGGTACCTCCCAGCCATGGCACTGCCAAAGGGGGCACAAGGCTGGAGGGTGAAATGATCTCAGCCTTCCATAAAACATAAATTCCCATGGTCTGTGCAGCTCCTGCAGTGATCCCAAGGGTCAGGGGAAGGCCTTGTCTCACGGTGAGACTCAGCTCAGCTCGACTTCAAAGCCCAAAGAGCACTTTGTGAGAGAAGGAGGAGGGAAAAGCTCATCCCAAAGGAACTGCTCGGGATCCACAGCGAGGCCGAAACATCCGTCTGCTGAGATGGATAATTAAACACTCACATTTAGACAAATGAATAGGTGAGAATGAAATTAAATTCTCATTATCTTTTTTTGGGGGGGAGGGGGGACGGAGGGAGGGATAGGGAGCAGAACCGACACTCGTTCCACTGAGCTGGGCCGTTATCACCAATTAGATTTCTGAGCCTAATGTACATCTTGTTTGAACAGGTTATTCATCCAATTGAAATCAAATTACTAATAATTTGCAAAGTATTGCCTACACAGGCCTATCCTTGGGTTGTATGAAGAGTGGTGAGCAGGAGCCAGTCCCTTATGAATTAATAACAGAAAAGGAGGAGGGGAAGAAATAAAATCCACAGTCGGGCAAGTGAAGGTGCTGCAGGTGCTGCTTCTCTCCCAACTCCTCACCCACCTGAAGGCTTGGACATGGTATGGTCAGTTAAGTGTTCCATAAAAATGACCAAATGGGTCCCACAGAACCAGCTCCCTGCAGAGCCTGGTCAGCAGAGAGGGGGGCCCGATGGGGAATTCACTACCTGCTGCTTCAGGAGGGGCTGGAATGTCAGGGTTTGGCTTGGGCAAAGAATTAAACACAAAAAATACTAACAGGAAGGTCTGAGGCTATTCAAGGCATCTCTGGAGCCTCGACTGCAATGAGAATCCAGCCCAGAAAAGCAAGTGGCAGAGCTGGCAAAATAATGGAGAGCAGCTGGGATAGTTTTTAATTTTTAAGTTGTTTCCTTCCCTGTCATTTCTCTTTTACTCCAGCGGTCCCTGCAAGATTTCAACACCGGGGAAGGGGCCAGGAGTGAGTCAGGTGTCTCCCTAACATCCTGTCACTCTCATTCCCAGCTGAGCTCCTGCACTATGGCCAACCTGCTCCCTGTGCTGTCCCAGGTACACACTGCAGGAATCCAGGGACCCAGACACATCCTATGGAGCGTGGGGAACACTGGGCAGCACCCAGCTACAGGAACAGGTCATTACTGCCAGAAAAACCCATTACAGCATCAGCTCTTACCCACAACTGTCCCTTCCTACCCCCCCTTAATTATAAGGCCAACACTTCCTTTGGATGGAGTTTGTCCGAACCTCTCAATTTTCTAGGCCACAGAGAAGAGAAAAATATTGACAAGGTTTTCCCACATCCTCTGGTTTAGAAGTCTGACCTGAAGGGACAGTGCTGGTAAAAGGGAGAACTAAGGAATTTCTGTACAATGGGCACAGCCCAACACCCCCAGGATGGCTGGGAATTCAACATGCCCTGGGTGCCACCACCGGGCATGGAAACACAGAATTCACAGGGCTGCAGGGAAGCAGCTTGGGAAGATGGACCTGCAGGTGCCATTCTGCTGGATGCTGGGTCAGATGGACAGAGCTGGCCCCTCTCTCCTCCCTGCTCTTCACAATTATCACTGTCTCAGCTTCCAGAGTCTCCCTCTATCCATGTCAGGCTATTTTCAGGCAGCCACCACCATTAAGAAGCTCGTGCAGGCAATGAGCAGGAGTTCAGGAAACCTCACCCATGGCTGGAAGAATGGCCCTATTACAGCAAGAACTTGGACTTGGGGCATCTGGGTTATTCTCCACCATGGAACTGATGTCAGATACAGGGAGACATGGAGAGCAGCCAAGAGCACTTGTGGGTCAAGGTTTCATTTCCTTTCACTCTTACACTTCACCTTTCTTGCAGGTCTTTTATCTCCCTCCTAAGACAGGAGAGATTTCTTGCTGTTTATTATATTTTATCCTGAAGCATCCCTGAGAAGTGAGTAGCCATTTTCTCTCTCTCTTCCCCCTCAAGTCCATGTCCTCATTAGGTCAGTGACATGCTTCCTGGCACTCTGGACCAAGTCCAGCCTTTGCTTCCCAGAGGGATCTTTAATATATTTATTGAATATGGTGACTGTTGTTAAGTGGTGCATGGTTCAGAGGGGAAGAGGGAAAGGGAAGGAGGGAGGAAAGAGAAAGGAGAAGAGAAAATAAAGAGCTGCAGAGGGAGGAAGAGGGGACTGACAGAATAAAACCAGTGAGAGCTGTGAAGAAGTATCATAAAGCAGCAAAATGTGTCTCCAGCCACAAGAGGGGCCCTGCCTCCCTCTTCTCGAGTCCTGGCAATTAGGAGAAGGGCTTGTCAAGTCTGATCTGAGAGCCTGAGTCCCGCTGGAGCCCAGAGCCCTGCTCTGTCACGTCTCTCTCCAGTTGTGCAGTGCCTGGCAGAGCCCTGTCAGCTCAGCCCAGGCGAGGAGCAGCGTGGTGTGGCACATCCTGCCACGAGACTGAGCTCCAAAGGGAGCAGGGATGTCACACAGCTCTCATCCCTAGGCTGCTGGGGAGCAGCTTGGGAAGAGGCCAAGCGAGAGAAGGCAGGCAGCTCTGTGCACATCAGCTGGGAAGGCACTGGGACCTCGTGGCTCTGAATCACAAGCAGGTGCATGAGACAAACATAATGGGGGGTGCTCGGGTCTGATCTTCAATCAATTAGGGAGTCAGAGAGCAGCAGCCTTCTGGGAGGTAGGAAATAGCTTTCCACTTAGGAAGGCAGGCAGAGGGAAGGCTGACAGTGCCAGCCATTAAGGCTTCAGGGAGGTCAGTAATTTCCCTATTAGAAAATGGGTGCTGAGCGAGGGGAAGGCTGGAAAGCTGTTCAGAGAGGTGAGGGGAGGGCAGCTCATCCTGTCTGGGCTCCATCCAACGTTCCTGTGTGGACAGGGGCAAGGAGACAGTGTCCCACCATTCCTTCTGTAAGCACCTTCCCTCCAAATGCTCTTCCCTGGTTTGAAATAACTCTAATCCCAGCCAGGTGTCAGACACTGGGGTCATACTGCTGACACAGCCAGAGAAGGGGGTGGGGGGGAAGTGACCTAAAAACAGGATGAAGGACTTGTAGGGCAGGATGAGGTTCTCCAGAAATCTGCTTCTCGTTGCACAGACACCCTGTTACAGGACAGCTTTTGTTATTTCTCCTCAAAATGGCTTTTATCTCAGTTCATTATTTGGCGAGGAACCCAGCCCGTTGTGTGCTCTCATTGTACAATCTGCTACTACTTTTGCTCCCAATTCTCTCTGTGTTTTTTTTTTTTTGAGTAAAAGAATTTCAAAGGCAGTTTTGCCACATGTATCCATTTGCACCTCTCCTGCCCATTCCTCAGCCCCCTGTATGTGTTCACTGATATCCCACAAGGGCTCCTTCAGAGACAGGTCAGGTCAAAAACTTTCACCATTTTAACAGGTGTTTAAGCATTACTGGTTCTTATTCTTAGCCACACCATCACATTTTGCTGGGGACTTAGACAAAGCTGCTCCTAACCCACCCTGTTAAATCTCAGATGCTCTGATTGCATTTCTCCTCTTCTCTTTCCCTCCCCTCCCACACTAATGAAAGAGGCCAGTCTTTAAAATAGAAATTAAATTCATGCACCCACAAGACAATGCTGGGCTTAAATCCAACAGCATGTGAGGATCTTTACTGTTAAAGCTGAGCCTTATTCTCTGGCTGCACTGGCTTTCATCTCCCTGGTGTTTCTTGGGATAACATAATATCCTTGAAGGCAGTTTTCACCTCAGGGTGGAAAAGCTCCCGAGCTGAGGTAATGCATTTATCAGTGCTGGTTGGAACCTCCCTGCGAGTGTAAGGAAGTTAATGCTCTCCAAACTGTTGCAGGGCAATGGAATCTGCAGCCTCCAACTCAGAATCTGGGAATCATTAAGGTTGGAAAAGCCCCTCTGTTATCACCAAGCCCAACCTCTCACCCAGCACTGTGTTCTCCACTAATCCCTGTCCCCAAGTGCCACATCCACACGTTTTTTGAACGCTCCCAGAGATGGTGGTTCTACCACTTCTCTGCATGTCTTATTTGGTGTCTAGGATAGCCCAGAGATGGGTAAAAAAAGAGAAGACTGGCCTAACTTTTAGTTCAGCTTGCTGGGGAGAGGCAGCTTAGTTAACTGCCTGTGAGAAAGGAAAAAGGCAAAGGTTTTTTTTGCCTCTTTCTGCCTGAATTCTGCCCTACATAGTCCTTGTAGCAGTGCAGCTATGCCAGTATTATTTTGGCTAAAATAACTGTACAGGTTGACATTGGTACAGAAATGCCCAATATTGGCACCATTCTTTTTCCTCAAAGGAAAAATGATGTTCCCAGCCAGACAAACATCCTCACCAGGGAGTCAGGAAAGCTTAACCAAACCATGGGAGTTTAGACAATGCTACTATTGCATGTAGGCAGTGTTGTAAGAGAGCAAGATCTTCAGGAAGCTGAAATCTGATAGGAAGAAAGAGGATTTTTCCTCTGCAACATTGTCCCAATAACCCTTGGAGCTGAGTGCCTGGAGTCTGTGTCAGCACGGTGACACGGTTTTGGAAGGACGTGGTTGTGAAATCATTTGGCATCCACTGAATGCACTGACTTCAGTGGGAGCTACAGGTCTCTGCTCCTTTCTAGGACTGCAAGAACCTGCCAAGGCAGGTTTCCTCTGCCCCAGATCTCCTCTGAAGGCCACCACCACGGGCAAGATCACAGAGGAAATCGGTGTCAAAGGCGAAGGTGAGGGATCGGCCAAGAAACCAAACTTTGCAAGTCCTTTCCTAATCCCCAGAGTCTTTTCTTCAGACCTCAGAGTAACAGAAAGCATTCCCTCGTGCCAGCAGGGGAAGGAAAAACAGTCAACACAGATGAAACTGGGAGCAGGAGAAAGCAGAAAAGGCACCAATGTTGAAAGCAGTGAGGCAGGTGTTTATGATGGCACGGGCACACGGGGGGCCAGCCAGGGGTGCAAAAGAGGGAAGCACAGGTTTGCTCAGGCCCTGACCTTGTTTTCCTATCACAGTTTAACCTATTTCTTCCTCTCAGTGGGGGACAATAAACCCTCAGCCCAATCCATGCCCATCAGGGAGGACACAACAGGTGAATTAAAGCAGAAAGCAGATGGGGCACTGTCTCTGCCGGGTCCCAGCTGTCGTGTCTGAGCTGTCTCGCCTTTATGCTGGGCTGTGTCTCCAGAGCCAGCCCCATCCCACCTTCCACCTCACTCCCTGCCTGCTAATGACACTGGGATCACAGCCAGAGCCTGCTCCTTCCAGCAGGGCTGAGCAGGAGTTGGGCCAAGCTTCCCATTCATGGCTCTGGAACAGCTGGAAACGGCCAATCCTCCCCCTCTTTGGGACAGGGGGACCCATTTCCAAGGGACAAAATGCTTGGAAGGACTGGAGGATTGGAGCAGTGGATGTTCCCTGCCTGGGCACCAAGCACTGAATTTCTTTTCTCCTCTTCTTCCTGTGTTCATCAGGAATGCTGCCTGCCCTGTTTGCTCCAGCTATTCCAGCTTTGCCCCCCCCACACACACTGCATCAGAGCTCCCAGGAAAACAAAAAGGAGAGCAACTGTACAAAAGCAATTAAGAGCCTAATCTACTTGGTAAGAATCCTGTCCTCCTCTGAGGAAACAAGACAAAGCTTAAACAAGAGACCTTCAGACAAACTGATTGAGAACTACTGGAGAGCAGGGCAATACCAGGCTGGGGGACCACTGCCTAATAACCACTAAGTATTTTTCCTTCATTTCCTAATAAGCAAGGCAAAGCAATTACAGTAATTAAAGATTTAAGATAAGAGCACTTTATATTTGGGGGGCCCAGCATATCAATTATACAGTTATCATGTTGTTCTCCCTCCTAATGAGACAATCTAGCACTATAATTTCGCAGCATTAAAAGCATAATTAAAGGGGGCAGGAGAAGAAGGGCAGTTTACCAAAACTGATTAGGAGGGTTTCCTCTCCTCAGTGGCTCCTGTGCACACACACAGCACAGATGCATTCCCCAAACACCCTTCCATTTCCAAGAGATAACCCTGGAACGTGGCTGTTGGACAGCTGCAATGATAAACCCAGGCTTTAATTACAGGAGGGTTTTATGGGAAGAGCTGGTTGCTGGTTTTGTTGTTTTTCTGCTGTTTTCTCCCTACTCCCAAGCTCTTGGTTGCTGAATGTGTACCAGCATCTGTTGGAAGGTAAGGGGGAAATAGCTTATCTTCTCAGAGGCAAGAAACACATAAAACATAAGGAAAGCAATTACATGCCTTCAGTTCCCACTCCTCTGTTTTTATAGGGCTTGTCTTAGAATCTGAGTGATTTTATGCATCAGAGGGAGATGACAATCAAGATGAGTGGCAATGATATGCATGGGAGGCTGAGGCACAGTGCCTTTAGGTATCTATTTTCCTGTAGTTACAGCTTTTCTGAACTTCCTATTTTTTTCAGAGGGATGAGAGAACCCAGAATTCTGCAGCTGAATATTGTGGGCACTCAGACCACACATGAGAGCCCAAGGGACAGTTACCATAATATAACTTAAAACAATCCCTTCTCCTCCTCCTCTAATGCTGCACAATTCCAGGAGAAATGTGAGTGGTACTGGGAAAAACAGGATCAAAGCATGTAAACACTGAGGTGAGCCCTCACCTGGGTTACTCTTTCCTGCTGCAACTTCATCACTTCTACATCACTACTACAGAGGTTCTCAGGATGCTCTTTGACACTTGTACTTCAGGACATAAAATACCACACACTGCTGCTCCACACCTCCTTCCCAAACTTTGCTCCCCAACCTTGAATTATCCAGTTTATGTTACATCTGAATTTGGGGACAATTGGAAGCAAAAGGCAGGATTTTGGACCCATGCACCACTGTGTGCTTTCAGACAGCTCTGTATAAGCCCACAGACGAGTTTTTGGTCATGCAGTTCTTTGGCCACAAAGGCACAGAGAGTGAAACACAATTTACAGCCTGCAAATCCAGAGGCTTGAGGGCAAACATTAGGCCACACAAGAGCCCTACTCACCCCAAACAGGGGTGAGTAAAGAGGAAAAAAAAAGACCCAACTACTCTTTCTGAGCTATAATGTGGCATTTGCACTCTGATTTCAGGCCCTGGGGGTCACTCCACAGGGCTCACAAAGGCTGGTCACCTGCTGCCCAGTTCTCTGTGCCTTTGCTCCTGCACTTCAGCACTCCCTGGCAGGAAAAAGTACCTTCTTTTCATGATACTGATGTGGAGATCCTCCTCCTGCTTTACTTCGGGGTGCTGACCATTGCTCTTGTCGCTCTCTTCGCTGTCGTCGCTGTGTGAGAAAATGGAGGTGAGCTCTTTCTTGGGGATCCTGGTGGGAGGTAAAGGGATCGTCCTCTTCTCTGCCAGGCGGCCCCGGTTCTGGAAGTAGTTGCAATGGGAAAGGGTAAGAGGAGGAGAGAAGAAAACAAAGGACTTGGTCAGGAAACTCAAACCCAAGGAGCTCCTCTCAAAGAGCTGCCCTGAGAAGGCAGCACTGTCAGTCCCACTGTCAGTCCCTCTGCTCACTTTGCAAGAGGCTTTGCAGCAAAGGCACAGCTGTATCTAATTCTTCCAGTTCTAATCAAGTCATGCCCTTCCAGCCTCTCCCACCTCTTCATTCCTAGCTTGTGTCTGATCCACATCAATAGGAAAGGGAGATGGCACCAATCTTTCTCTCCAGGGTATTTCCTACCAAACACTGCACATTAACACAGTGGAGTAAGTTCAATTAAACCTCTGCCAGTAGCCCAGGGAAGCCATGATCCAGATAATCCAGAGCACTTCTGACTGTAAAGGGGGAAAACTGCCTGTGCCAGCCAGCAGCAGGTTCCTCTCACACCACGGAACAGTCCACAGCAACTTCAACCTGAATTACTGAGGCTACTTCCCACTGCTCCTCTGCATGTGGAGATGGACTGAGCCTTGCAGAGATGTCCCTCAGTGCTCCTCCCTCACCAGCTCACTGCTGACATGGCACAGCTATGCAGGAGGAGAACTCCCAGGAGGCCTTTTTCCTCACATTTACAGAACCTGGCACAGCATGACCCTGGTCCCAACCTCCTCCTCTCTTCAAGAAGTGAGATGTATCACAGATCACCCTGTCCCTGCAGCCTCTGTGCCTGATCCACAAGAAGACACAAACCCAGTGCAGCCTAAGCCAGACTGTGCTGGGCTTTAGCTCTCACTGGGACAGAAGAGGTTTTTAGGATTGTTTGGCTCCATCTGTGACTGACCAAGACAAGAGCCATAACATGAGCTCTTCCCAGTGGAAGATGTACACTGGAAACCCAGGGAGATTGTGGTGTCATTTCCCCCCCACAACCCATCCCAGAATCTAAAATTTTAGCAAACAAAATGGTGAAACTGAGATGGGAACCACAGCAGGGGGAAGGGAAGCACAGTCCTGTGCACGTGCTTTGTACAGGAAGAAAGGTGTGTGGAACAGGCTGAATAAGTGCAGAGTTAACACTGAATTAATAACAGCTCCTCTGAAACATCGATTCCAACTTTCCAAGTAAACCTGGCAAAACACAAAGGTCCTGGGAAAGCCAGTCAGGCTCTCTGCAGGGGAGAACCAGGAACACTAAATGATGGAAGAGCCCGTGCTTTTTTTAATTAAATAAATTAAGGACCTTCCACAAATACAAAACAAAAAACTTGTTTACTTCTGTCAATAAATTCCAGTTGTGCTCATTAAGGGGAGTCCTAATCGCTGTGATAATTAGCTAAATCCATCTGGAAGGCATCACCCCAAGGAGCCACGTTAGAGCTTTCCCACCCTGATGCAGGTCCAAGCCAAGAATGCAGCTGTCTGTGAACAGCAGACACCCAAGGGAGAGCAGAGCAGTGGGCCAAGCTGGCACAAAAACGGGAAAACACGTCCACAAGGAGAGAGACACGCACTTTATACACTGTGTGTGTGTCTCCAACCCTCATGTGGGAGGTGCATTTCCACCCCTGCCCCTCTCCTGCTCCAGTGCAAACAGAGACTGTGCACCAAGTTCACTCTCTGCCCAAAGTCACCTCGGGAGCACGAGCTCACTCGGAGCCAGAAGGACAGCAGGGAGGTGAGGAGAGAGAGGGGAAAGCGAGGGGATGGAAAGGAAAAGCAAGGAAGGGCAGTATTTGCACCAGATTTCTGTCATGGACCAGCATGAGCCTCACCACCCAAAGCTTTCTGTGTTTTTCAGGAGCTGCAATTAAAGGGGACGGGGAGGGAGGGGGGTGCAAATTTCCGCTCCAGAATAATTGGAAATCACTCTCTGCTGCGGCTTCGCGGGCTAAAGAGAACGGCACAGATCAGACACTAAAAATCATTTTATGGCCATTATGGCACCTCGGAGCAGTTAGCAGGTCTCAGTGACTGCCCAGGGACTCGTCAGCCCCGAGCAGAGTGAGAGTGCAGCAAACAGGGAGGCACTGAGCCCACGGAAACAGCCCCCAGGCTCAGCACAGGTCACCCCTTCCCCTGCTCCTCAGGGTGCTTTTTCTTTGCCTTTCTTACACCTTACACCTAAAGCTGCTGCACATGCACACATACATAACATACAGATATTGCAGATGTACCTATAGAGGTAACACCTAACACATCTTCCCTTAAAAGGCAAATAAATGAGCGTGAATGGAGGAAGAGAATTTGCACCTGCAGCGACCTCTGGTCACAGGTGACCTGCCCTGCTTTTGTAGGACAACAATAGAACCAGAGTGGTTCCAGTGTCCCTGTAAGCTCCAACATTCCAGCCTCAGCAATGCATTTATTTTTTTTAAGTTCTGTTTACTCTGTACTTTGCATTTTTTTTTTTGCCATCAGGTTTGGGGTGCTTTTGTTTATTTATTTACTGCGTCTCTCAGCTCGCAGAAAATTAAAATAGACTGAGCCAATCAATTTTGCCTTTTATATTCATCTATAGTCAGTTTTGAATCAATTGCACTTTCTTAATCTGTTTAGAGGCATTCAGCAGTAGATACACATTACTTTTAAATTAAGCACAAAGGTAGCCAGAAGCCTGGCCCAGAACCTGCTGCAATCAATTGCCTTTCCATTGACTTCAAAGGGCGCTGGTCCAAGCTGCAAACAAAACAAAAAACACACTCCAAAACACACTAAGGAATCTTTCCTGGGTTTTGCTGAAGTTTTTTTTTCAGTTGTGCAGATAGATTACAGAACAGCAATGCACCTGCAGAGGTGAGCAGTGGGTTGAGACACCTACAGTGACTCCAATTCAGGGTTATCAAGTACCAGGGGTGAGTGGCAGCAGGTAGTAAGGTCTGCACTGAGCAAGAACACACTCAGAGGCTGCAGTGGCATCAGCAGATGTGGGGAGGTACGTTAGGATTTACAGGTATTCGGTGTAAACCTCATAATCTCGCATTTAAAAAGCTCATGTATGGGTGGCAGTGTCACTGCACTGATCTCACACAGCCGTGGGATGCTGGCCCTGAACCCTGTATAAAGGTTTGAGCATTTTTAAAAAATAAACTGCCTCCCAGTTGGTTGAGACTCATTGGGATGTCTGATGAAGGGAGACTACAAAACAGGTGGAGAGAGACTATTTACAAGGGCCTGGAGAGACAAGACAAGGGGGAACAGGTTCAAACTGAAAGTAGGTTTAGATTAGAGATTAGGAAGAAATCCTTCCCTGTGAGGGTGGGAAGGCCCTGGCACAGGTTGCCCAGAGAAGCTGTGGCTGCCCCATCCCTGGAAGTGTCCAAGGCCAGATTGGACAGGGCTTGGAACAACTTGGTCCAGTGGAAGGTGTCCCTGCCCAGGGCAGGGGCTGGAACTGGATGATCTTTAAGACTCCTTCCAACCCAAACCATTCCATGATTCTATGAGTCTGTGAGTGGGAAAACAACCCAAAACCAACAGTCACATACTGTGAGAGCCAGGCACCTGGGACACTCCTTTCCCCATTAAATAACCCCATTTTTACACACCAGAAGAGCAGGGGGAAGGTGTCCTCTGCCAGTTGGCTTCTTCAAACCAGTGGGACTGTTTTGGCCAGTGAGTCAGAAGGAGCATTTTCTGGGGCTGCAGAGCCAGCAGCTGTCCCAGCAGGGGCAGAACCCCCAGCAGAAAGATGAGAGCAGTAAATACAGCTCAGAGCTCATCCAGCACAGCCAGCTTGCCTGCCTGCCTGCCAGCTGCCCAGTCCAGGAGGACAGACAGAAAGTGGTAAGGAACAGAATATGCCCCTGAGAGCAGGGAGGGGAACACAGGACCCTCCCCAGAGGTGAAAGAGCCAGGCAGCCAAAATGCTGATGCAGAGTTATGGCACAGGTAATAATAAACCTGCAACAAACCCTCCAACAACCTCTTCAGGGCCTGAGAGGAGTCCAACCAAAGAGCTTCCCTTCAGGACAGACACTGACTCAGCTCAGGGGAAACCTCTCCAGGCTTGCACCCTCCTTTCACAGCAAGAGGATTTCCCCCACTCCTTGGATCCAGGGTGGAGAACACAATATCTCTCTTTAATTAGTGTAACAAGAAAGTTAAAACGTTCCTGCAATTCTCCAAAGCCTTTCCAAGGGGTGAGCGTTGAGGGCATGGCAGAACTGCCTGGTGCATTAGGGCTCCCTTCCCCTTCATACATTGTTAAAGATTAATTTTGTGGGTTATGATTCCAGCTAACGAAGCACAGCTGGAGTTTGAGTCAATAAACCCTCCGTCCCCCCAGACAATTGAGCTCCCCCCGGCCACTCCTGCATCAGCCCAGCCCTCCGTCACTCACCACTTCACCCTCCCAGGGTCTTTTGACACCATTAATTGCTTTCATTGCCTCTCAAAGTATTGTCTGGGTGGGGGGTTGCTTTGTTTTTAAAAAATCACAGACAGGCATATTTCCTTTCCCCAGGAAAAAAATCAGATGGGGGACCAGCACGCTATTTAAAGTCACCCACTATCCAGAGATTGAACTGCAATTAAAAAAAAATAATAATAAAAACAACAACCTGGGGACAGCAGCAGGTTACCCGAGTGGAGAAGCCTGGAAGCCCCATCGTTCTTGCCATGAAAGGCAAGGACCGTCGGAAAGATGGAAAAGAAAACAGTGGGGATGTTTCTTCCCTTCCAGAGAGCTGGGGGGGAAATTCCGCTCCGGGTGGCTAAACAAGGTCAGCAGAGTTACAAAATAAAATCTCTCTTTCCCCCCCCCCCACCCATCCAACCCCCTCGTGGCTCTCCCCTGGAGCCCCGTCCTCCCAGCCACGAATTCCAAAATCCAAAGTGTTGCATAAGAGCCCTGGGAGAGCTCGCAGATGGAATGACGGGCGGAGAGCATGGGACTTGGGGGAGAGACAGGAAGGGAGGGTTAGGAAAGGTTTCCTGCCCTGGGAGCTACTGCAACAAGGTCAAAACAGCTGAACGCCCTGGTGTGACA